GAAGCTATGCGTAATAGTCATGAGTTGGCTTATTGTCATTAATGCAGTAAGTGAGGATTGCAAGTGAAAAATTTTCAAAACAATGGATACTGAACAAAGAGTAATCTTTTCGATAACTTCATCATCAGGTTCTACAGTTATATATACACGTTACAGTGAATGAATGAATGAATTAGTGTTATGAACAACATTAATGTTGTTAAAATAACATCGAATCAATAATATCAATAGATTACAGTTCATTTTTGATTGCACACTAGTCAGTAACTAGTGTAATGTGTCTAGTCCTATCTTCGGTACAGACTGAATTCTATCAGTCATGTTTGCAATGTGGCCACCATGCTAGGTGGCTCGCCATTACGGTGCACTGTGAATTGTTGGTATTAGATGGTTGGAGGCAATCGGCAGGAAGCCTTGGACCTAGGTTTCGTGCTAGTTGGCTAGTTGCTGATGAGTGCCAACTAGCACGAAACCTAGGTCCAAGGCTTCCTGCCGATTGCCTCCAACCATCTAATACCAACAGATTACAGTTCAGTTGCACCAAAACAACAATAAACTGAATGTCCGAAAAATTAGGATAGATAATATTACAAATTCATGAATTTATGGTCTCCTTGTGAAGGCCGGACATGGCAGTAGTAGTGGCTAGCTGGACTTGCTTCTTTTGAACACAGAACACTGGTTATTTGAGGCGAATTGCAATAGCCTCTACTGTTTGGAGCATGCGGTGCTTCGATGACTTCGGCAATTTATTAGGCACCCGGTAGATTATAGAGAAGGATTCTCCCACGCTGGCATTGTGGCCGGTTTCGACCAGATGGTCCAATATCGAACTGTTAATGGTTTTCATTAGACCTTTACTTAACCATACTAGGAGATGTTCTCGAGCGAGCACAAAATATCAAGTTCCTAGAGCAACGGCCAATATAACTCGCTCCAATACAAGCGCAGTTGAATTGGTAGAGAAACTTTCAGCTAGCTTCCTCTGAATTAATAATCCAGAGCTGAGATGTGAGATCGGATTCTTACCAAGGTCGTTGTTTCACTGGGTTGACTGCGGATGATTTTCAGTTGTCAGTTGTTGGATGAATCATACGCTACTGACAATTCATCCATCATCAGACTACCTGTCCAGTTATGTCTAATCCTGTCATTCATAATCATATTGAATTAGAAGGCAAGGAGCTGAGTTTTTAATTGGCAATGGGACTATCTTAGATAATCTTGAGTTGGTAGACGCTCAGTGATGTAGTGAGTAACGACTGGGAAGTGAAATGAATTGTGAATCGCAATAGGATTGCGGTTAGGCTAGTAATAATAATATTAATGACGACACCAACAATAAGGAATCTAAATCCTCAGTAGTAATTCCATACAAGGAAGGAACCTCGGAAAACTTACACAGAATTCTTAACAAGGCAGGAATAAAAGTGGCTGGCATTCAAACCAACCACAATCTCAATTAAAAACCAGCTTTGTCAGTTAAAGGATCCTGTAGAGCCTTTAAAACAAAACAATTTAGTTTATCTAATACCCTGCAGTGATTGTCAGGTCAAATACATAGGTCAAACTAGTAAAACAGGGGTAGTCAGACTAGCTGAACATAAAAACCTAGGAAAATCTAGATTGGTTGACCCGAATAAGATAAGAAATCTAGAGAATAGTTCAGTTATAGCACTACATGCAGTTACACACAATCATACTATAGGATGGGATAAAATGACAGTTTTAAAATTTAATGTCACAGGGTATAGAAAGAGATTGATGACAGAAGCTTTGTTTATCGAATCAACTGTAAATACATGTAATAGGGATGATTCATCACCTGTCCCCGATATCTGGAAAATTCTACTCTCCCTACGACAAATAGGAGAAAACAAAGGAAACTCGAAGTCGCGTAATTACAACTGATATGATTATAAACAATAAATTTTGTTCGAAACGTCATCCAGTAAATAACACTGTTTCACTGACTGTGTGATACATCTAATAAACAAACTAATACAGAATTACTTACTACCACAGTGCCTAAGTTTTACACATATATTAATAGGCTAGTAACCTGCTGAGTAAGTTAGTGTGATTTGGCAGCCTGTGTTTCCAGTCCTGCTGCAATCGAGATTTTCATTCATTACCCATTACTTGTCAATACATGTCAAACCAGAAACTGTTATTTCAGTGATGATGTAATAATTCTGCTAACTGATAGTTTCGATGGTGAAAATCAATGGGCAAGTCGACTGAAGAGCAACCGTTGACTGCTAATTAATTCACACACACACCCTTAGCACATTTAGATGAAGGCAGGGGACAGACTGATCCCACCAGCCAGTGAGAACAAGTCAGTTTCATTATGCAAAAATACGTTATATGCAAGTATAACATACCTCAGAAAGTCAAGCTAATAAATACCCAATTATATTGATTGCATAGAGTCGCGGGCTTTAATCTCTGGGCTACCCAACACAATGCATCATATCTTCTCTGAATCTTAAGGTTATAATTGAATGGTTAAGACAATGAGTCGTTAAATGTACTTGCGCTCATTTTCAACTGGCTTTCAAACTACCGGTGTGCAATTCGCGGAGACTAAGGGAAAATATCATTGCGTCATATAATAAACTACAAACTGGTACTTTTCTTGAGGATCCTAATTGAGGAGAAGATGTTATGGAATAAATTATGCTGAGGATTCGGTATACTGTGTGAACATTTTGTTCAGAACTTATTTTATGCTGCCTCAGCCCACTGGTTTGATTTTCTTCAAACTGGTATAAGCCTGTCTAAGCTGGTTTTAACCACTTCCTGTCAGATACCTGTGCGTCGGTGACACAGCGGTAGAATGCTCGCCAACCATGCCTCGTGGGGTTCGGGGTTCGATTCCTGGTCCAAGGACACACTCCACCTTTGCCTCGCTTAGCCAGTAGTAATAGTGGTAAAGAGGCAATGTTGGGCATGAGGCTAACAGCCCTATCCTGTAAAAATAAACACCACTTCTACCGAAACTTCAAGCCAGTAGGAATAAAATAATGGTAATATGAGATATGAATGTCCAAACCAAGTTCACTTTTAACAGTTTGATATAAAAATTTGGGCATTGGGTATATGACATTCATTATAATAAAGGTTTCTGTATTTCCCAGAGAATGAAAAACAAAACGATATCTTCGTTTTTATTGACGTTTCGTTATTTAGTGCTAATAGCTTTATCAAAGTATTATCAAACTAGAATTTACAAAATCTCAGCATAAATATATATATAACAAAGAGTTAAGAGGTGATGAGATTATGATATCAAAACAAAGTTTACTAACTTGATCATCGTTCGTCAGTCTGGGGTCATTTTTCGTTGTCAAGCTGGTCAATTGGTAAAGATAAAATGCTTGGAATGTGATGCGATATACATCGGACAAACATCGTCAGAGAGAAATTAAAATAAAAAGAAATGAACGTCGTAGGGCATCTGTTAGACCACCGAGAAATCCGGCTGAACCAGAAAAACTTGAAAAATCATCAGCCATAGGTCTACACACTACAGAATCAGGCCACAAAATTGATTTTGACAAAATTGAAATATTTCTTTCTTTCAAAGAATATTGAAATAATCCAGAAAAACCATTTCAGGAATCACAAAGAACGTCTAATATCATCAGAAGCACTTCATATCAAGTGGAATCCAAATTGTCTGAATAGGAATGATGGATTAAAACAGAATCTGACCTGGTTACAACACCCCCCTACCCCATGAAGTAACAATATCAACACGAATGTGATAAGCAGGTTCACGATGTAAACACACACTGCTTTTATAATTTTACACACTGATCAAATCCAACAATCTACACTTGGTTTTGTTATCTTTACCAATTGAGCAACTTGACAACGAAAAATGCCCCCAGACTGACGAACGATGATCAAGTTAGTAAACTTTATTTTGATATCATAACAGACGTACTTTATTACCTTTGTTATTTGGTTTAGTGGTCCTCATTGTTATTTTGACTTTCAATATGTCCCTTTAACTTGACCTATGTCTATTTTCTCACCCCTTAACTCTTTGTTATATATATGCTGAGTGGAGTTTGTAAATTCCGGTTTAATACTATTTTGATAAAGCTATTAGCTGCATTAAATAGCGAAAGGTCAGTAAAAACAATATCGTTTCGTTTCCCATTCATTCATTGAGAAATACAAAAACCTTTACTATAATAATATCAGATACCTGCCGATCTCCTCCACTAAAAATGATGTCAACCCCCCCGCAGCCGCCATCGCTAAAATTTAAAAAGAAACACTCATTACACTCCTAAGCATCCCACCACCCATCAGAATTACACAAATAGGCAAAATATATCCAAAAATAAATTTTCATTTTCTTTTCTCTCTGAAATAAAATAACAGAAGAACAAAAATGAAAGTAAAGATTTCTTTTGTTGTTTTTTGAACTTTGTGCTTTCTCACTTCCTTCCGGTCTGTAGTTTTGTTTAAATTTATATACTGCGCCATTTTAAGTTCAATGTCCAACTATCAGGCGTGTACACAAGGCAGAGTAGTAGTACTATTTGTTGTTTTGTATATTTTTTTAAAAGTGGCGATATTTGAATCAGTCTTTGGTCAAAGAAAGACGATAGATAACAAGAGAAAACTAATAATGATATATATATCACTGGAAATGAATCAAAATATGAGTACAGTTCATGTGATAGTTTAAGACATACATACTGTGAGGCATTTTAGTTGTGGTGAAAATAAACAACATTGAGTACGTCAATATGTTTTGTTACAAAACTATTTTTATTTGTATATATGTTTATATATATTACATAATTTCCTCTTTCTGGTTTGTAACATGTGAAGATTTTAAATGCAATGAATGAAAGTTGTGCTGACTACATACATATATTTATATACATACATAGACAATTCAAGGTCAAACTGATAATTTAAATTGTGTCTATTGATCATTGAACGTTGAACATTTACATTTTTCTTTAAATATTCTATTCACCAATCATACAAACAGGTATCTGACTAGATGAATTTGAATTCAATATCACTGAACTAGACATCAGTGGATCAAAGGTTGGAGGTAGATGTGATGGAAAATTTTGACGACAATTTGATAATGCCTTAGGATAACACCCGTTCGAGATAATATTACATGTATCCAATATTTGACGTACAAAAAGTTGTTTATAATTCCCGGTTATATCATCCACGCTTGAGGCATAGATTAGCACTAAATAATACCGTGGATAATCTCGACGATGATAAGCTGGTATAGTCAATTCTAGAGTGTGCATACCTTGAGTTGTTTGACAATGGATTGGTTTGTAGGTTTGTCGAATTCTCATGGACACGGCATAGTCTGGAAATTCACAGTAGTTTGTCTAATAGATAGGACAGTTAACAAATGAAAATATAAAAGGAAGAAAGGAAATGTAAACGGTGGCGAAAATCGATTAAAAATCTATATTTTTTATCAGAAATTATGATTTTGAAATTAGAGGGGATGTTACTTAGTGACTTTAAGCATTCGACATGAAGCTGTTTGGCCCAGATCTCGGATTCTTACCCCCACCTAATGTAGCTCGAATAACTGAATTTGTATGTGGCATATAGTGCGGTACATGAAAGACCTGTCCTGCATAAATGTATTCACTCAATCATGTGTCATGTTAACGTACTGATAGACGCTTAGCTGATAGCCATCGGTGAAATGAGGTTCTCCCCCTGTAAGTGTATGCAGGAACAATTTATTATTACCCTTCAGCACAAAGTTGTGGTGACAGTTGTCTGCAGGGCGCAATTGTAGACAACAATTTACGTCAATGTTCACGTCCCGAATCAGGATCATGAGAAAAAAACAATAACAAAGCTTAACCTTGAGGATTTCATCAACCAATCACAGCAGACTTAACGTATGCAAGTACTAGTCGCAGATATATGGCTTAACTCTCTAAGAAACGGCCACAAGCAGTGCAGAGTAACCTTCAGCAAGAAAACAACCAATCAGAAGACGTTGCTCCTTCTATTTTTACAACATTTCACTCATCCTACGTTTCCATCATATTGTATTCACATATTCACATTTCCGAATGTACTTGTGTATTGACCTTTAGGTTGACCTCTGTTTATCTATTCATTCACATATCTAATCACTTTGTGAATCATAATCATACACACCAATGTTATTATCTCACTTTAGTATATTTACTAACTGCCAAACTTTGACGTGCACACGAAAAAACTGATTGTTATTATCTATCGTAGAAAATTGGGAAAGTTCCAGAATAATTTCTGGTCAAGGGTCAAATTGATAAAATTACAATTAGGAATTAAAACGCCATAATAAACAGGTTTTATCTGTCCCTCTGTTTATTTTGGCGTTTTAATTCCTAATTGTAATTTTATCAATTTGACCCTTGACCAGAAATTATTCTGGAACACTCCCACCCATTTATAATAAATACACGAATGTACAGCCTAGTTAATGACTTCGTCGAAAAGAAAATTGTCTTCTCTACAACTGTCTTTTCATTTACACTCACTGTGAAACTTAACACACACACACAGGAAAACTGACTGTTGTTACCTATTACAAAATATATATATATCGCAAATACATTACACGATTCAGACAAATTACGTCTTCTTATTGCTTTATCTAAATATATATATATATATATATCGATTACAAAATATTGTGAAGTGGGAGACGGTAATGGTGGTGATTAGTCATAATGGATTCGTAGAATATGGGAGAGGAAAATTGACAAGTCAGTTCAAGGTTATAAAAAGTGTCAGGCGGGTGATTGGCCAGTACAAAGTGATATGTATTACAGAGGAGGAGATAGCAAGACTGTAGTGAGAAGTTCATTATGAAATAACCAATTTGTGAAATGAAACAGGTGGATGCATCATACGTAGAGAAAAGAGATAATATCACTAATAATAAGTCTGGATTGTATGAATGGAAAATCCGATAGTTTTGAGAGAATGTTTGCATGAAGGGCATAAATTATGACGAATAATAATAATAGCTGTAATAATAAGCCAAGCAAAAGAAATAAAAATCCAAGAGTGATACGGTGAAGAGGCACTCTTGGTTAGAAGAAGAAACATTTATCCAAATTTGTCCATGTTAGGAACAGCGTCTGGATGTGTTCTTTTCGGATACAAAGTTCCGGTTTAGTCAGTCTTATTAGAACAGCTTCAGTTGTGTGTGGGAGACGTAAGTGAACTGTCCCGAATTCCGGAGTCGCTATCCCGTTCAGTTCACTTGCTACTCCTACACATGACTGAAGCTGTTGCAATAAGATCTTGGATTTTTTTACCTTGCTTATTATTACAATTATTTTTACGATTCATTATAATTTATAGCCTCCATTCGAATTTCCCATTTATACTATTCGGACTTATGATTAGTAATATTATCCCTTATCTCAATATATACCTTTACCTGTTTCATTACACATATTGGTTATTTCAATATGAACCTCTGATTGGAGTCTTGCTATCTCCTCCTCTTTAATACATACTGCTTTGTACTGGCCACTCACCTGGTACCTTTTATAACCTTGAACTGACTTGTTAATTTTTCCTACCCCACATTCGACGAATCTGTTATGACTAATTACCACCATCGTCTTGCACTGTTCAATATTTTGTCATCAATTACAGCCTAGCAGGTTTTTCACACAAACACTATTTATTTTCTATAATTTGGTTTGTAAGGGTTAGTTATATTTTTACGAGTTGATTACGGACTGATATCAGTTAGAGAACCATTAAAAACCGGTATTGGAGTACTGGACAGCTGCCGTTTCATCCTAGTTTGGGAATCATCTGCAGTACGCACCCACTGGGATTCGAAAAACATAACTAATCCTTACAAACCAAATTATAGAAAATTAATCTGATGCTCGCTAGTGACTTGCTACAGGATGGAGTTTCCTGGAGTTCTAGTGAGAAGTCGTGACCAGTGAGGTCCAATTAAATGTCACGTGTGCGGATAGATGTCCCACCAACGACAATAATTGCGGTCGCGTTAAATCACGAATTGGTAGAAGTTAGAATTCATGGGTTGGCCATTGAATCGGGTCCCAGTGGCTGAATGGTATACGAGCTTGCTTGGAGGGTCCTGGGTTCGAATCCCGGCTGTGAGTGCGTACTGGCGATGATTCCCAAACTAGGATGAAACAGCAGCTGTCCAGTACTCTCTGGTTTTCAATGTTTCTCTAACTGATATCAGTTCGTGATCAACTCTTAAAAACTATTTAATTTGTCACTCTATAACTAATCTATTATTCTACGTAGTATATGTATATATGTATTCGATTGTACATCTAAGAAAATGAAATCTTCAAGTATTGTTTTTGTAGGGATTTTGATTTTTGTTTGATTGGATGGAGGATTTCATCATGAGCTGAAATCAGTTAGAGAACCACTGGAAAACCAACAAGGAGTACTGGGCAGCCAGTTGTTTCGTCACATTTTAGGACTCTTCATCATTACGCACCAACCACAGGGAGTTCGGACTCACGAACCTCGGTTACAAGGCGAGCTAGCTCGCAGACCATGCGTCACCCACTGGGACTCGATCAAATGGCAGACCAGCCCACGAATTCTAACTTTTGCCAGCCAATTCACGACATAGCACGACCATTTCACGAATTTCTTCTTCGATGAGTTACTGCCTTATTTTGAACCTGCTGTACCGCACTGGTCACGCCTTCTCAATAGAACCCCAGGTTAACTGCCTGCCAGTCGCTAGTGATTACCAGATTAATTTTCAAGCATTGTTTTTGTAAGGAATTTGTTTGATTGCCTGGAGGATTTCATCATGAGCTGGTTGTATACAGTGGGTGCGTACTGCTGAAGAGTTCAAACTAGACTGACGAAAAAGCTGTCCAGTACTCCCCGGTGGTTTTCCAGTGGTTCTCTAACTGATATCAGCTTATGATGAAAATAAAATCGTCGATAACAGAATTTTTTTCCCCGAGTCCTTTGCTTTTTTACATCTCAATAAGGATTATTAATTTTTAGATAACAGAGGTAAAAACAACAAAAACAAAACAAACCAAAAATGCCATACCATATTATTGATATAATCCAGCATAAATGATATGTTATCCGTAAGATTACACGCCAACGGTATTGTATATATCCAATAATTATGTGGATCAATATGTATTGATAAACTAATATACACCTGGTGTAGTGTACAGTCTATACCAATTTGAAAACCGTTTTTCAACGAGATTTTTCTTAGTCGACGTGTCAGTATACTTGGAATGTGTACATTTTGCTGATTGGCTTGGTCCGTATTCGATGGAATAATGGAAGAAGAAGAAGGAGGATTAGAAGTGGCAGTAGCACTATAACTAGATGGAATATTCTCTCTTAAATATCGATTCATTTTAATAAATTTATATTTAAATAATTCTTGCTTCGATTTTTTATGTTTTGATTTTAATCGATTCAAATAATGATAATAAGGATGATGATTATTGAAAAGATGGTGATGATGTTTATGATAATAATAATGGTAATAATCACGTTTAGCACGATAACTCCTGAAATGTTGATAATGTCGACTATTTTGTAATAGGAATGGTGGGATTTGAAAGATTGTTTGATTACTTGATGGTTGGGTAGCTATACTTGATATATCTGTAGGATAATCTGTAGGATAATCAATAAAAACAGAATTTAACAGTTAAATAGAAAACAGACATTTAATTTAAGAAGTAAATGAAATGTTGTATATGACATATGGAAATCAATAAATCAATAAATTTCCTCATTAGTCATCATCAACCAAATCAATAATGTTTATTTAAGTGAATTTTGTAATTTTGACTGAAACATTCGATCTGTGATGACATATCGCCTTCAAGGGTGGACGCTTCTGCGATGTCTAAGGATCAACATGATGTAATTTGGTGAATGCTGTGTAGCAGTGAAATCCAGGATGCATATCTCGTTCAGCTGGATAAACCTACGGTTGCTAGAATGTGTTGATGTATCCAAAGGGACTTGAACTCACTACTAAAGTACCTTAGTGCATAACGGTTCGTCATTTGAAATAGTAGATAGTAGGTTCAAGTCTCATTAGGAACATTACCATTCACTGGGGATTGCAAGTAAATCCAGTTGATGAGTCCGCAATAAGACGATGTACGCAATTTGGATCTCACTGTTAGTCAAAATCCATTAAGTTTCATTCTAAAGAAGCAGTCTTCGATAGTCTAATCCATCAATTAACGGTCTGCTTGCTCCACTCCTTTTAATTCAATATGATATAGGATTAACAGGGTTAGAGACAATTGGACAGCTAATCTGCCGATTAACGGACAGTCGTGTATTACTCATTTATGCATATGATAGCTGGGATGCTGATTTTGTTAGTGGAGTTGGTAGAATGATGGACTAGCTATTCAGAGGTCATCGGTTCGAGTTCTATCACAAAGTGGATTTGTATTTCACCTTCAGGTATCAATAATTACATCAAAAATGGTTTGCTAACTCTAGAAATTTAAACTACAGGTGTGAACACTTTTCGTAGCAATGTGAAATATGATAAAATATTTTTTTGTTTTTATTTTTTTAATGTTTTTTTCATTACAGCTTGATGCCACACCGTATTTTCAGTACAGGTATGGAATTTTCAGCATGGATATCGATAGCCCAAATTTTGCAGGCCGACAATAGATATTGGGTGTGTGTGGGCAGGGGATCGAATCTCGGACCATGTGCATAGTCGGGGAGAGTCCTAACCACTGTGCCACCGACTCAATCATATATAAACATTGGGTGGCAATACATTTGGAGTATCGATCTTGGATAGGAGTGTAAAATCAATAGGGCGATGTCAGAAGTTAGCTAAGATAGAGTGTTTTACATTGCAGAAAAATAAACTGAACTGAGGGGGACAAGTGAAATAATATCGGCAAATTTAATTCAAGTCAGATTTTCCCGTTGACTGATTGGACCGAAGTGCTCGGCCTCAGGTTGACATGTCGGCTGCTTGTGCAGTTGCTTCGATGATGTCTGGTCATGTAACTTGAAGTCAATTGGTAGATGATGACAAGCAGTGGAATGCATGATGAGCATTTCGTCCCATTTGGAACTCGTCATCCGAAACGGAACACTTCCGGCCAATCAATCGATGAGAAAATCTAAATTCATTTAAATAATTAATAAGATGCGTTGCACAAGAGGTGGCTAGCTCTTGTGGTCTAGGTGGTCTGCTGGATGACGCTTTGGCGTTTGAAACTATAAGCACAGGGTCCGAGCCTCGGTGGGAACACTATCACTCACTGCGGAATACAGATGACGAGTCCCAAATAGGACGAAACGCGCGTTTTCCTGGATTCCAGTGCTGGTCACCGCCCACTAGTTGACTCACCTACTGGAAACTGTTCAAAGTTAAAGTAATAACAGTGATGAAGTCGATCGACTGTTCTAGAATTTCGGAATATACACATTTGATCATAGGGAATAAAAAGACAGTTGCAGCGAAGAAAATTTTCTTTTCGACGAAGTCATCATCTAGGCTGTACATTCGTGTATTTATATCAAATGGATGGGAAAGTTCCAGAACAATTTCTGGTTAGGGGTTGAATTAATGAAAATTACAATTAGGAAAGAGAATGCCCTAATAAACAGGGGGATGGGTAAAACTCAAACAAAGTAGCATAATAACTAAGAAAATTGACATTGTGCAAAACTTAAGTTTTTAAGTTTCTTAAGTTTTTTTTAAGTTTTCTTAATCCCTGTCTACACTACCATATTTTCATATCCACACTTCCTGTTTATTTTGTCATTTTATTATCTCTACATAATTAATCCCTGATTGCATAAATAATTATTCACCACACGAGTTTCTTATCCAAACATCCTGCATATTTTGTTATTTTTTACATTTCCAACCCCAATTGCACAATGTCAATTTTCTTAGTTATTATGCTACTTTGTTTGAGTTTTACCCATCCCCCTGTTTATTAGGGCATTCTCTTTCCTAATTGTAATTTTCATTAATTCAACCCCTAACCAGAAATTGTTCTGGAACTTTCCCATCCATTTGATATAAATACACGAATGTACAGCCTAGATGATGACTTCGTCGAAAAGAAAATTTTCTTTCTTCGCTGCAACTGTCTTTTTGTTCTAGAATTTGCTTACTAATCTCAAAAATCTCAAAATACACACCGTTTTAAGACTTGTACATTCCGTGAATTATTTTATGTATTGCGTAACCATTGTTTTTTATTGTGTGATGCTTCGCTGTGATTAGGATCGCAGATATCTTATTGAAGTGCTTATTATACCTGTTGTTTGAATATCCTCACGGAACATAGTTTCGTGGAAATCACAAATGTACGAGTGCACGGCTTGGTAACAACATAATTTAAAAACGCTAATGCTAGGTCAACAAGATTATTATTATTATTATTATTTCCTTTAATTCCTAGAGGAACATAGGGCTTCAGCCATGCGTCTCCATTGCGTTCGGTTCTCTGCTGTAGTTTTCACCTGGCTCCAAGTCTGCCCACACGCTTTCAATTCCTCTTCACATGATCTCCTCCAGGTCACCCTTGGACGACCAACTCGTCGCTTCCCTTTCGGGTTCCACTCGAGGGCTTGTCTAGTGATGTCACTTGCTGGTTTCCTCAGAGTGTGTCCAATCCATCTCCATTTCTTCCTGCCTATTTGTTTCACGATCGGTTCCTGGTTGGTTCGCTCCCAGAGATCTTTGTTGCTGATCCTCTCCGGCCATTTGATCTTGAGTATTGAGCGAAGGCATTTGTTAATGAACAACAAGATAATCAACACCAATTTAAGTGAACTAGAAGTTAAGAAAATCTCCATACAGACAATCAAGATCTTCAGGAGAAACGACTATTCCCCTCTTGGAAAATTTCGCAACCCCACTTCATATTTAGTATAACACTGAAGATGTTGTTTAAAAAGACGTCCTTCTCACAGAAAACAACTGCAACGATACCATCCATCTGAGATACAAATCTTCTCCATCAACAGCGAAAATATTTCTTACTGTCGGGATAATGCTTGAGCTGACCTTAATTTTTTGGAGTGCGTGTACGTTGAAATGTAATGCAAGGTAAGCTATGTATCCATAATTAATATATTGCAGTCACCAAGTAATTCCATGGATGAAAATCCACCTGACTCTAACTTAGTGGACCCTATCAGCTACAAGTCCCTATTTGAACTTTATGATATCCTTTATGCAGCCAGTAATGAGAAGGACATTCACACTAAGATTTTAAGTTTTTTAAGTATTTTCAGTAATCCCAACGTAGATTTTATCAAGAAATGACGCTATTTGGAGAATCATTGAAAACCAAATGACGTTGGAGCATAGAGTTACTAGGTTCCATCCTTAGTGAGGTTATGGATGTGTATTGATGAAGACTCTGAAACCAGGACGAAACAATCTTCCGGTGTTCCATTAGACATACTTTTACTCACTATTACTTGATTTTTCTAAATATTTCAGAGATTTTAGTAAACCCTCATACCATCTTCTTGAATTAAATGACTTAATAATACGCACCCACTGGGGTTCGAACCCAAGAACTTCCTGTTACATGGCAAGCTCGTAGACCATTCAGCCATTTGGACAGAGTCTAGCTTCTGCCAACTTGTGATTTCAGCTCAACCACTGGGCAGTGTTACCGACGAGAGATTGTCCTCACGCCAGTTCTGGTGAACCCTATTGGTCACGAATTCTCGCTAGAGATCTAGGTAACTTCACTCTGTAGCCAGCAAGCAGATCAAATCCCTACAGACTAATTCTTGAAGACTTGGCGATACCAGTTCCACATGAAGACACTTCGATTATTTCTTGGGAGGAAAATGGTGTTATCTGTGATAGCAATGGAATGTAGGATGCATGTTTCGGTTGAAAGCCAACACCAGCTCAGTGATATCACATCTGTGTCGAGATATAGTCGACCTCCTGTAATAGAAGCCAACATCTAAATGGTGGCGGAGAAGTTGTGCTCAATATGAACCAATCAGTCAATGGGCAAATCATCAAAAGTAACCACAAGAAATAACAGCCAATAACCATTGTACGAGAAGTGACTCTCATAGGAATAATCAACTTTGTATACAAAAATATTATTTAAAAAAACCAACGTAAGCTCTCATACATGTTTGTTCTGGTTTTTGTGGTAGAATGCTGGTAGCATTCGATGAGAGGAAAAAATATCTGCCAACTGGTAATCCATTTTTGAATTTCACATCACCGTTCAGCTGCATATAGTAGACGCCATCTTCTGATGAATTTAAACACAACCGAAACACATAATGATTGTTTATTGAATATTCACACTTTTTTTCCATTGAATTTGATGTTGTAGGCGAATTCCTGCAAGAAAGAAGACAGTATTTTGGGGAAAATGAAAGCGAAAATATAAACGCAAATTTGATTTCATTCAGTTAATCATAAAGAAGGAAAATCTACCAGAGAGATAGATCTTCGAATAATAGACGTCACTTGTGCTGTTTCAAGGCATGGATGGTGTTAAAATGAAGTAACTTTGGGGATGAAATTAGTTATGTAAGATTATTTTATAAAATTCTATCAGGTTTTCTTGTTAATTTCCACAATTATTCTCAGATTTGTAAATGTATTTGCCGTTAGGCTATCTGAAGGCCATTTCTGATCACTTGTTATCATGATGATGGCCAATATTTATTATTCAAATACCAGAGGAGTCATAAAATCAATCAGAAGTCCCACACCTAGTGGATACGGAACACGAGATAAACAAAAATTCAACTTTTACAGTTCTATGCAAGGTGCTATCTCAACTCCCCAGGTTGGTACGTCTTCGGTTGCGGAGCAAAGCGAAGTCAGTTGCTCAACCCAATCTCTATGTTCAGAAAACGTTTGTTCAATCTCCCCACCTCTCTTGGCCTTTGCTCGCAACCCAAAATAGTTATCTCTCCTGGTGACACCACGTAAATGTTAATATTATCTTATTAGATTTTTATTTTTATTTTATTTGTCATGCTAACTGTATCATCAATATCATTATTATATTATCTAACTGCTATATGACAATAATTATTTTCTTCTCTACCCCTACTTAAACACTCACCATTAACTAGATTATATAAACACCTTGTTATTATTATTATGATCACCTCGATTGTTATCCATGAAATCACACTCTTGAACTCTGATCCTATATTTTATCAATCACATTAATTCAAATGCTTATGACTAATATTTCACTATATATATGTACAGATTGATGACAAAATACGTATTTGCTCAAATCATGTTCTATGGCATAGTTATCACCAAGTAAATTTTTAAATTAGTATATATTACTTATAAGTAGGTAAAATAATAATCATAATTTTAATCGCTACTTCGATAACATATCAGTGAACAAATAATACTGGGCGTTGTACCAGGATCCTAATTTTTTCTTGGTGGCTAAATGAAATTGTTGTGAAAGGCACCAACAGTTACGACACCTCATCCAAACAGGCCATAAAGCTTACACCGAACAGTTTTTTCTTATCATCGATCGGGTACCGAATTATTTTTACTTTTTTATTTTTTTACTCCTTTACGTTCCAAGTGGACCATAGGGCTTCAAGCTGGAGCTTTGAAGTTTCTGTAGCCTAACCTTCCCTCCTTAACAGTTTTATTCCTGGCTTAAAAGAGGTGAATTTGGAGTGCGTCGGCCGGGGTTCGAATCCCGAACCACCTGCATGGTTGGCGAGCCTTCTACCGCTGTGCCAACGACACTAGTTACCGAATAATTTGCCAAAAACTTCTTAGTACTGAGCACTCCAAGCAGTTTACTTGGAAAAATTGGAGATCTGTTTGCAAAATAGACAATTCCAGCCACTACTGCTACTCTGGTCTGCTATAGAACCTTTAAATTAAAAAAAATTCTACATCACGTTTCTCAATCTATCTGAAATTCAGTTCAGTGAGTTAGGTTGATGTATCTCGAAATGTAATCTACCGATATTGTTGATTCGATGTTATTTAAAGCATAAATGGTGGTAATAACGACAACTGAAGAACCTGAAGAAGAAGTTATCGAAAGGAATATTCTTTGTTCACTAAACCCAGTCATTTAGAAAATTTTATTTTCCCTGTTGAAACTTCTTCAACCTCTGTAAATATATTGTAATCGACCCTCCTTGCTTTGCTTCAAATGAAAAAGGCGACCACAAGTGTGTTTCTTAATGTCCTTGGTCTGGCCAAAGAGCGTTAGTGGTTGGCATTCTTGATATCTCACCACACATAGGAATATTCATAGCATAAGAATGAGACAAATTGTTCCCCTAACTACCGATTCGAAATAATCGATGTCTAACACTCGGTCCAAGAAGTATCACGACAGAACAATAAGGAGGGATAATCAGGGGATTTCATTTGTACTGTGCAATCTGGTGACAGAGAACAAATCAAAATATCTGTTTAAAGATTGTTGTGGATGCTATCTGCTGTATAAGACAAGAATCTATAATTCAGCAAATACGCTTAGGCAACATAATACACTGGGTCCTTGAGTGGAACCTGAATGGAAAACGACAGATTGTGTGTCCGAAAGGTCCATGGAGAAGATCGTGTGGAGAGGAAATAAAGGCTTGTGAGGAGTCATGAAGCCAGTTGAAAGTGATCTGATAGAGAGTCAGATACAGTAAGGATGTGATTTTGAGGCCCTATGCATTATTATTATTGTTTCCTTAAGTTTCTAGAGGAACATAGGGTTTGCGTCGCACGTCTCATTGCGTTCGGCACTGCGTCAAAGTTTTCACCTGGCTCAATGTCTACCCACATGCTTTCATCTCCTCTTCACCTTTCACCTCCTCCATGTCACCCTCGCACTAACCACCAATTCACCGATTCCCATTCGGCTTCCACCCGAGCGATGGCCTGGTGTGTGATGGATGCAACTTGATGAAGTTTTGTTTTCTCAGAGTATGGCCAATCCAATCCACCTCCATTTCCTCCTGCATATTGCTACACAATCGGTTCTTACAGGATTGGCTCGTTCACTGCCAGAGATCCTTCCATGTTGCTGATCTTTTCTCGTCAGCCATCTGATCTTGAGTAGTATTGAGCGAAGACAGCTGTTGATGAAGGTCTGTAGTTTGTTCGAAGTGACCTTCGTGACGCGGCGACGAATCTCTGACCCGTCCAGCAAGTACCACTGACTTCACATTGGAGTTGAAAATCCGGATCTTATTTTCATTTTCAAGCTGAGGAGTGCTGTTGATCTCCACAAAGACGTGAGAGTAATGAAAGCTTGACTTGCTTTCACGATCCTTGTTTTGATATCCTCATCAGTTCCGTCCGCCTGTATTTGAAATGATGCTTCCCAGGTAGGTGGGTAGGTGAAGGAGGTTGCTTCTTTCACATCTATCCCATTTATGCTGATTGTTTTCTGTTGTCGTTTTTGTTGCTGTTGCTGTTGGTCAGGCATCTTCATCACCTCTGTTCTCTCCATGTTCACCTATCCTTGTCCTATCTTCTGCGAACTTGTTGCTTTTCACTTGCATATTTTCCAGTTTGTGGGAAATCAGGCATATATCATAGGCAAAGTAGGTGACAATTGTCTACTACTACTTCGAATAAATTATAATAGTGACAACAGCAGGACATAATACAACCATTTGTCACGACAAAACAAAAACTTCGTTCATGTGTGTTAATCAAGGCTCTACAAATTATTTGCACTTCACTTACCTTGAAAGTATCTTTCTAGCCAATGAAATTGTATAATTCATCGATTTGTCCCTAGGTAAACTACACGGTTGATAATACAACTGGCCAGTTTGCTTATTATGCTCCCATTTAAACGAGACATCAGAATTCCATAATAAAGAGAATTTATGCGGTTCATAGACAACTTGGATTTCATCCAACTTACGTCGTGCATCACATCTTTCTATGCCGTGTTGAATAATTCGAACAGGATATGCCGTACTAATATCCATGTGTTTATTGATTGCATATACATTGATGAACAGCTTGAGGGAATGATTCAGCGGTAATTGATTTAAAATCATTGTAAGTGCAGGGGATAATCTAATCTTTGGAAATTGAAAAAAGATTAGAAAAAAGGGGGAAGGGGTGGAAAGGCATAAAATTAAAGAAACAAGTAGTAGTTTAGAGTTATTTTTTAATGAAATGTAGTAATAATAGGGACACTTATTGTTGTATACCCCCTGCTTAAGAATGAACAGTGGTCAATATTGGTTCTAAGATTAGGACTAAAGGCTATATGGTTTTTATTCAAGAGTGTTGGTTTCCGGGGATTTGATCAGTTACAGGCTTGATCACTAGATGATATCAGACAGAGAACTGATGAAAGTCAGAAGGGGGTACTAGACAGCTACTCCAGCAGTACCCACCCACCGGGATTCAAATGCGGGTGCTTCTATCTACAAGGTGAGCTCATAGATCATTCGTCGACTAAAACCCTGTCGAATAGCCCATGAATTCCGACCTGTCGGACCAATCAAATCCTTGAAAACCAACACTCGTGAATTAATCTGACGCTCACTAGAGAATAGCTTCTATATAGGAAATTACCTAGAGCTCCAGTGAGAGGTAGTGACGAGTGGGGTCAATCAAGTTAGGAAATAGGACAGCTACTCGTTGATGGTATTTGCTAGTGGTTGTGCTTTATAAGTCATGAATTGGCGACGGTTGGAATTCATGCTACTTTGGATCGGGTTCCAGTGGTTGAATGGCCTGTGAACTCGCTTTGGGACATGAAAGAACCGGGTTTGATAACCGATGTCACGTACTGCTGAGGCGTCCCAATCTATTCCCTGCAGGTCAACTCTTTGAGGTTACTGTTACAGTGTGATAATGAAATCAGTAGGCATCTGAGTTAATTATCGATTATTACTATTCTCCCAGGTGTATCTTCAGTTTATCTGAGTAACGGATATATCAAAAGACAAATCATTGGTGAGTGACTGTGAGATGAAAAACAACAAATCAAGTTATTATCACCTTAAGAATCATTTAGAAAAGGGTCAACTTCAAGAATAGTAGGGTTAACTGAATTCCAGTTGAAAATCTAACAGGTGTTCGTAACTGGTGGGAATTATCAATTGGCTAAACTCAACCCCATGGATTTGATCTAATTCGATTCAGACACACCGCTGATAATCCTGACCTGAAGTGGGATAAATTGTCGTTTAGCCTTTAGATCACTTCGATGTGGCTAGTAAACACCATTAGTTGGCTTGAACAGATTCCAACTACTTGTACCATGTAATAATTGTGAAGTATTTGCATAGGTAAAAGTTCCAGGTCGGGTGCCAGTCAGATTATCGAAACACAGGAATTTATCTAAATCGGGGTTGAATAACTCTGCTAAGTTAAATAATCTAGAGAAAAACAGCTATTGCATTGCATCCACTGTTTGTGAGGACACAGAAGGGTGGTACGGAGTAAAAGTACCGAAAAGTAACGCAGTAAGGTACAGAGAGACAGAGAGAGCTCAATCGTGGAGAATGTCTTCATCAAATCAACACCGAAATGAAGTAACTAGGAGAGAGTGAGGATATATGAAGCAAGTTATTAAGTCGTGTCAATACACTGATATTATCATGAACAATAAATTGTGCTTGTCATACAGTGGTCAGCAACACTGAACACAATCTACTGCTGAAGACATTTAACTATTGCCATCCAGCAATAAAGTTCACTCTTGAAATGGAAAACGAATCAAAAATTCCGTTTCTTGATGTGGAACTAACAAGAAGAACTGATGGAAGCCTAAGAAGATCAATCCATAGAAAAGCTACTTGGAATGGTCAACTAACAAGCTTCTATAGCTGGGTACCCATTCAACAAAAGCGGAATTTAATTAAATCACTTGCCACCTGCATCTGTAGTTCCTACGTTCTAGAAATAGATGTAGATATTCTGAGAGAAATCTTCATCCAAAATGGATACCCACCAAGATTTATTGACAAATATATCAAACCAAGAATTCGGAGAAATGAAACTTCAATTGCGCCTAAAAAGAAACTCTACATGAACCTGAATTTCAAGGGAGTTTTAGAAGGCGATATTCTCAAGAGAAGGACCACATCAACTCTGAGAAGAACATTATTTGCAGCCACGCTAAGAATAGTGTCCTTCAGTCGCCCTCTGATCTGCAGAAGCCTCAAGGACAATATCCCGCATATGATCACTTCTGTGTGCATATATCAGTTCACCTGCTGCTGTGGAGTCAGGTACATTGGTCGTTCAACAGGCACCCTGTCCAAGAGGATTCAAGAACACTATCCAGCATGGTTACGAAAAGGCAATAGTGGTGCAATAAGGGGTACAACCACTGAACACCTGGTTAGCAATGATCATTCCATAATGACACATAACACAAATCCCTGCAAACCAATTCCTGAAAATTAATCTAATTTTCACCATTGACTCGCTACAGGACGAAATCATCTGGAGTTCTAGTGAGAAGTTGTGTGGAGTTCTTGGCAATCATGATTTCCACGTATATAGTGACAGTAATACTTGGCTGAAAAACCATTAACTACATTCTCTCCGCTCACGAAGTCCATCTTGACTATGAATACTAAGAATATACCGAATGTTATACCAGTCAAGTCAGTCCCTTATACTAATTCACCATTTTAGAACCTGCCTAGTTGGCTGGATCACTAGTTTGTCTATTTACAAAGAAAAATGTTTTGATATTAGATATTACATTTTTGATTATGTGATTTATATACACATAGATTACGTCCTAAAATGTAACCATTTTGAGGATCTTCAAGAGGTAATTTTTACGCATTTCATTTGTTCCAAGTTGGATCACAGATTGATACCAGTTACAGAATCCTTAAAAGCAGGAAAGGGACTCTTTACCAATTCTCACCACTGGGGTTCGAACCCAGGACCTCCTGATTACTAGGCAAGCTCGTAGACCATTCAACCACCGGGAGTGGATCCAATATCTCATCGATTCTAATTTCTATCAGTTCGTGATTTAAGTGTGACTGGCACCAGTCAGTGTCCCTGGAAGCGAGCATTTGTCCTCACTGGTCACGACTTCACACTAGAATTCCGAGCAACCTCATCCTGTAACTAATCACTACTAAGCATCAAAATAGTTTTTAAGTGTTACTTTGTAGGGATATCATTTGCTTACTAGTGACTCGCTGTAGGACGGATTTGTCTAGGGATCTAGTGAGAAGTCGTAACGATTGGGGCCCACCAGTTCAAGGGTGAGGACAAACGCTCACCAATGACATTGGCAGGCAGTAGCGCTACATATCATGAATCCATAGAATTTAGAATCCATGGGCAGTTAGGTTACGTCCTAGTGGCTGAATGGCCAATGAGCTCGTCTCACAGCTTGAAGGTAGTGGGTTCGAAACTCGGTAGCGTCATGGCTACGAACTGCCAAAGAGTCCCGAGGTGGGATGAAACAGCAGTCCGGCACTCCCCGGATCTAAATGGTTCTCTAATTATTGTCAATTTCTGACCTAACTTGACACCATCTAAATCCCTGTAAATAAACACTTGAACCAAAAATTAAATGCGAACAAATAAACTAACAGCAACGTACTCGTGTTATTGATTTCATGCCACATTTATATACATAATTATCAATTAATCTTGGTCGTAAATGATCAGTTTCTTGAAACACTTTTGGTCGTTTAAATTCATCGTCTTCTCCGTTTCGTGCATAATTAACCGACTGATTTAACCTGGCCATTGCTGTACACCGGTAGTAGAGATTTTCTTCTGCGTTGACAACCACACAGTAATTTATACGCATATAATTACTGACTGCACGATTCCATGACACGTCCAGTGTATCACTGAAAAGACAGGAGAATTATTTATTGCAACGTTTTATATTACTTGGAATAATATTCAGTAGGTTAATTATTTTTTTAAATTATTTTTTGTATTTGGTAGACCACATCCCCTTATGGATTTAAGGGAAATAATAACGGGTGTGAAATAAAACTGATTACCTCCAGTTGGTCACTTCCACTATGATTGACTAAAATATAATAGAGTATAGCGAGCTAGAGTGCGGGGTGAAAATCCGCTACGGTTTCCTTTTCAAAACCCAAAATATTCAGATCACAGTACATATTCTGTTTGCATACCATATTTGGAACTGTAGAAAGCAGGTAAAAGCACATGATGTACTGGTATGGAACCTTATGATATTGATTGTTAAGAAATTAAAACACCGGTTTTAGTATATTCATCTTCAGTATAAGGAGCAACATCTGAATATTCAGCACTAATTTCAGGTCATCCAATGATTCCATATGCTTCGGAGACTTAGAGCATGCGTCACCAAAAGGCTACTGCAGACGTTCATCAAAAGCTGTCCTTGCGGCATACTGAACATTACGTCAAGATTAATAGTTGAAGCAGTCATGCAAAGATTAGAATTAACTGCTCTACTTATAATTAAACCAAAACTCTAGGTAAGTTATGTTGATGATACATTTGTAATAGTTAAAAGAATTGATTTGGAATATACCCTGAAATTAATAAACAACATATTTGGAGACATCAGATTCATCACGAGAGAAGAAGAATTAGATAACAAAACCCCATTTTTATATGTCTTAATCGCGAGAACCACCACAAGAAACTTAGAAACACAAGTATATAGAAAATCAAAGCACATAGACCAAATACTCGACTATAATAGTAATAAGCCAACTACCCAAAAAAAAGAAACTGTGTGCCGACATTGTTTAAAACTGTTCAAACGCACTGTAGCACACTAGTGTTGAATGGAGAATGGAGGAAAAAATACCTACTAAGTGTCTTCAAAAAGAATGGATATCCTCCTCAAAATTTCATCAAGAAGTGTTTAAAATCGAGTCACAACTCCGACAAGAATCCATCATCAAAGACTACAAGAAAATTCATTCTACCATATATAAAAAATATCTCTGAAATAACAGCTAGAATATTAAGACCGTTTGAAATAGATATAGCACAAAAGCCAGCCAGCCAACTAGTACAATCACTTCATTCGATATTGTGCAAACCGAAAGATCCACCTAACGGAAAAGGAAGATAAAATTAATATGATTTACAAAATAAATTGTAGGAACTGTAACAGACATTACATCGGTCGACGAAGTGGGCATCCCCTTCGAATCAGAATCCAAAAACACAAATTAGCTGTGAAAAGACATGATATATATTCCTGTTTCATATCAATACATGTAGACAATTATGGACATCAATTTTATGATTGGTACAATGTAGAAATTTTAAAAAGAGGGAACACCAGACACTAATGCCAGAGAATTCATAGAAGCCTCATACTCAAGCGAATAAGTGATTAACAAACATATTAATATAGAGAATCATTGGAAACCAGCACTGGAGTACTGGACAGCTGTTTCATCCTAGTTTGGGAAGCATCGGTAGTACGCAACCACCACCAGGGTTCGAACCCAGGACCCTCCGGTTACAAGGCAAGGCAGCCACTGGGACTCGATTCAATGGCTTATGATTTCTAACTTATACCAATTCGTGATCAACACGTAAAACAAAACCAATCCTTACAAACCAACTACTGAACATTTTAATATAGATCAAATTTGCCACCAGCTGATAAAAAGTAAATCATGTGGCGACAAACTCCAAAATCCAAGACAATAAAAAATTATCAATATGGATGTAAATCGACTACCAGTCACGACAGTGGTTGCGAGGAGACACAAGTCTATCATGCATGAAGCATTTAAATCAGTTGATTATATGCTAAACTTTGCTCTGAAGATGCTGTCTAGAAAGAGAACGAAAGGTCCACAATTAAACCAACTAATTGCAAATCATCCACCTGAGCTACAAATCTTCTCTACTGCTGGAACATCAAATAGCCGGCCAGAAAGGACTAGCATTAAATAACCCTAGCAACGAACCAATGAAGAGCCTATCGTCCAACAAGTACTCAGAAGAAAATTGAGATAGATTTGACATACGCTGGGGAGACCACTGAGTGGCATCGTTAGCCAGACCCGAGTGGCGTTAGTCTAAGGGTCACATGTAATCGATTGTGTGAGCTGGGGATGCAAAACAGATTGCATGAACCGTGAAAAATAATTTACTGGACAAAGTGGATGCCCCATTCATTTTCACACCTATAAATACGAACTAGCAGTGAAAGAACATGCCATATCCACATGTAGACAACTACGGATGTAAATACAACTGGGACAATTCGAAAATCATCGACAGAGGAAATACAAAGAATGCCAGAAAACTCCTAGTGGCCTGCTATTGAAATCAATCTACAATTGATTGGTTTGTTAGCACAGATCAGATATATCTATCAATAAAAGACAGATCCTATGAATAAAAAGTCAAATATTAGGTAAGTGAGAGAAACAATAACAATACAAGTGGGTACAATCATAAAGAAGTCTACGTGCATAACCAATCACAGTGAAGATAAGCAGGAGAAATCAATATTCCATCTGTGTAGAATTCCTAAAGCTCAATTCACATTGAAGCTAGTGCATCGAAGATGTTATATACAAGGATGATGAAAACTTTACAGGTTAAACCGTATAACTGAGAGAACAGAACTAAACCACTTGAGCTACAAATCTCCCCCATGAATTATTCCAACGTTACTCAACATCCCTTAGTGCTAAGATCAATTTATCACATTGTAGATTATATGAGATACTGCTACAACTTAAAAATACCATTTAGAATACAATCATAGATATTACGATTAAGATGACGCAATTCAATTAACCGCCAAGAATTTAAATTTTCACCATCCAATGAAATTATTTCCAGTGTGTTAAAACACCAAACCACTAAAGCCATGTCTATTCAAGAATAAAACACTAAGGGGTGTATGAATAGGTCAATGAAGTAGGAATTTCGGCAGAATAAATAAACAAAAACACAAATAAACGAGCCAAATGAATCCCTTAGTTTCTTTAAACTGCCAAATGAAACACATTCTCTCCAGTTGTATACAGAATTGTATGTTAAGTATTTAAGATGTATGATTAATATTTGTTATTGTCATGATTAACAGTGCCATTCGAACATATCTAGGGAAGAAAAATGTGTACGAACAAGGGATCGGATGAAAAATTAATGTTTATCCTGATGCCTAGGTTTAAAACTCTGGCATCTTGGCAACTGAAAAAGAAAAACAATTTTTTTACTGACTATATTTATTTAAAAAGTCAGAATGGAGGCATTCAATTTGAAGTAAATTGGTGGATAGTGACTAGCAGTGGGGGAATCCAGGATGAGAATTTCGTCCTATTTGGGACTCGTCATCTGGATGTACCTGAATTCCCTGGTGAGTGATAGTCTTTCCAATGAGGCTCGAACGCAGTGCATGTAGTTTCAAAGACCATTAGACTACTTGAGCCAAAATGGGCACTTCTTGTTTAACGAGTATGAGGAATTAATTCGCTTTTTCAGTCTCTGTTGACATGTTGGCTCTCAGGCCGAGTATGTATTATATATTAACTAATCAGTTAATATTACTGTGCAACACTGTGTGGCTTTATCAAAATAAAATCTTATCCATAATGGAGTTATGCTCTACCACCACAGTGTGCCCAAGTTTTGTACTTATATCAGATACGACAGAGGGAAGAAATTTCGAATCACCTGAAATCGTTTACTAATGACCCATTATTTCCACAGATGGAACTTCCTCAATTGTTTCACAGTGCACTGTGAATTCTTTGATGTTTCCGCTTTTAAACAAATATGGTGCAAATATATGTGAACTACGTCTTTTTCCAGTGGTAGATGTAAGATGCAGAAAGGAAGACTAACGAGGAAACTCACAGTGTCTATTTAGCCATTCTGCTATGAATGCTGATGAAGTAATATGCCTTTGTTGGGTATATGATGTTGACATGCAGAAGACATTAAGAAAAGTTAACAAAAGCTTGAAGTAGTCATAGAGGCAGTTGAAGGTGACTGAAGAGAATCTAGGGCAGTGCCAACGTGCCACTAAGGTCCCATGTTCCACTCTGAACGCAAGAAGTGAATAATAGTAATGATGATAAATGAGTCCTTCATTCATTTAAGTAACAGGAAATCATACCAGCTAATCTGTATTAGGGGAGGCCTTACAACATTACATTACTTGTCATCCATTTGGTTCTTTTAAGAATTACAGTCCTCTAGGCCACTTTCATCATAGAGTATATCTGAAATAATAAGTTGTACATATTACAATCATTCAATGCTATGTGCCTACAAACGTCTCAGAACAAGAGAAGAAGGAGGATTTCTACAGTCAACTACAAACAGTAATGGAAAACGTCCCAAAGAGCGATATCAAAATCCTGATGGGTGACATGAATGCGAAACTGGGAGGAGACAATACAGGAAGAGAACTCACCATAAGTCGCGAGGCCCTCGGTGAAATGAACGAAAATGGTGAACTCTTCTCAGACTTCTGCGCCTTCAATGAGTTGGTGATTGGTGGCAGTGTGTTCAAACACAGGGATATACACAAGGCAACATGGATTTCACCAGATGGACACACCTAAAACCAGATAGACTTCCTTTCAATCTCAAGGAAGTGGAGACGGAGCCTACTGGACACAAGATCGAGGAGAGGAGCAGATGTGGGTTCAGACCACTATCTAGTACAAGGGACTTTCAAGGTGAAGCTGAAAGCCTCGAGGATAGCTGGGGATAGGCCACAATGCAAGTTCAACACGTCAAAACTGAAGGACACAAACACAAGGGACATTTTCACTGCAACTGTCAGAGCAAAGCAGGAAACACTACGTGGCATCACTGAAGAAGAGGAGAGGAGAATGGTGAAAGAGAAAATGATTCAATGCAAAGATGGACAAGAGAAAGAGACGCTGAGCTCAACTTACACAGCACTGGACAAAGAAGTGAAGAAGAGTGCCATGAAGGATAAAAGACAATTCTACGACAACCTGGCTACTGAAGCTGAGAAGGCAGCAAACAAAAGGGACCTGAGGACACTATATCAGATAACCAAGTCTCTATCCGGGAAGAGATCAACACAAGTGAAACCTATAAAAGACAGCCAAGGGAACCCAATTACCAAAGAAGAAAGACAGATTAAACAATGAGCGGACCACTTCAAATTACTTTTGAACCGACCACCACCTACAACACGTCCAGAAATACCAACAACAGCACGTACACAACTGCAAGTTGACACCAATCCTCCGACGAAAGTTGAAGTCTTGAATGCAATCAAGCTTCTGAAAGCTGGAAAAGCAGCTGGACCAGATGGAATACCCCCTGAAGCACTGAAAGTGGACCCGGAGACGACAGCAGATATGCTGACTCCATTATTGAAAAGGTCTGGAAAGAGGGAAAGGTGCCTACTGACTGTAGGAAAGGTTACCTCGTGAAACTACCAAAGAAGGGCGACCTAGGACTCTGCAAGAACTGGCGAGGAATCATGCTCCTGTCGACGCCAAGTAAAATCCTGAGTCGCATCATCCTGGAGAGAATCAAGGACGCACTGGATACAGAACTCCGACCAGAACAAGCTGGATTCAGGAAAGGTAAATCATGTTCTGACCAAATTGCAACTCTACGCATTATCATCGAACAAAGCATGGAATGGCAATCAAACCTCTACCTCAACTTTATAGACTTTGACAAGGCCTTCGACAGCATTGACCGCGACGTAATCTGGAAACTACTCAAGTACTACGGTGTACCCTAAATATTCATCAACCTTATTCAACAACTGTACGACAACGGCACATGTCAAGTGATCCACAACGGAAAACTCAGCGAAGCGTTTGGAGTAGACACAGGAGTCAGACAAGGGTGCTTATTATCACCAATGATATTCCTAATTGTGGTGGACTGGATTATGCGTCAGACAGTTTGAAATGAGAAGACAGGGATATCCTGGACCGACGTGAAGAACCTAGAAGACCTGGATTTCGCAGATGATTTATGTTTGATGTCATCAACCTGAAACCAATCTGGAAATCTTCGTCACTCAACATCAACAACAAAGCTCAGATTTTCAATACAAATGTCAAGTCAGTCAGTTCTTCTATACGGATCAGAAACTTGGCAGCGGGTCACAAAGAATATTTCCAACAGCCTGTTGCAGACCTTTATCAACAACTGTCTTCGTTCTATACTCAAGATCAGATGGCCGGAAAGAATCACCAACAAGAAGCTATGGGAAGAAACAAAACAAGAACCAATCATCCAACAAATATGCAGGAGAAAGTGGAGATGGATTGAACACTCGCTGAGGAGGCCGTTGGGTGACATCGCGCGTCAGGCCAATGGTCGAGTGGAACCCGAAAGGGAAGTGGCGAGTGGGACGTCCAAGGGTGACATGGAGGAGATCGTGTGAAGAAGAGTTGAAACAGTATGGACTAACATGGATGCAAGTGAAAAATACAGCAGAAGACAGAAACAAGTGGAGACGTGCAGTTGAAGCCCTATGTTCCACTAGGAACCCAAGGGAACAATAATAATAATAATTAAAATATCACTTACTGCTCAGTCATATTGCTTGAATAGGAAGTTCCGAATGCGGTCTACCGTATATCAGTACAATTATTCATTCCTTGCATTCCAAGTGGAGAACAGCGTTTCACTAGCGTGTATCCACTGCACTGGGTTTTCTGTTACCACTTGTAACTAGGTCTACAACTGTCTTTCAGTATAAAGTTTTGGAAGAGAAATTTGGCAGGAAGTTTTCCCTCTCATCAATCTTCCCTGGGTTCTAAGGGCCACCTATTTTTCACTGGATATCTTCATCTACTGATTCAAGTGAATATATGTTTGAGCCGATGTAACAGACGTTCAGTGTTTTTACGTCACTTTAGTCTGGTTGGCAAAAATTACTATATGACGTGACTGGAATTCAACTTTACATATCGATCACTAGTTGATACCATCAGGATAATCTGTTCTTCTATCGACTTTTTACTTCTGAGCAGATCTATTTCCAGGTAGTTTCCGATTCAAGACTGAACCAAACATTGTTGTAGAAATAAGAAAAAGACGTCAGTGACAGTAATTATATTCCATGCAAAGAACATTTGTACAGAGTTTTTAATTCCGACAATCCGACAAGAATTTTCTAGAAACTGCTGGAATGGGAAAGATAGCAATAAAATCTGGGAGTGTTTAAAGCATACATGGAAAGTCTTTCGATACTTATAAGCTACAGATGCTATCAATAATCAGAAAGGTTCTATTTTTAGGTGGATAAATACTCCGTTTTATTTAAAATTTCTGAAACCGTTTTGTTACCAGTAACTAATCCATATGACTAGTCGGAAATGATACTCTGAACAGTGTTGCCTGTTAACCGGACTGAAGGGATCTCACCGCCAGGCTGCTAATCTCCTCTTTTGAAACTCCTCTAATCAGTTATGTATATCATACGTCAGAGTTCAGGGAGAGCAGAATCACTATCTGCTGTGTATGTTATATTTACTCACTCATTACTGTTGAACATTGTTTATTCGTATCCCTTTATTCCATGTCTGGCATTTGCGCAATGTTAAATAAAAAAACACAGCTCTGATGTTTTCACTTATTGACGCACATTGACTGTGCTTTTTGACGGAATTCAGCTACAGACGCCTCACAATTGAGGTTTATACATATTATACTTCATTTTTTAAGTTTAGTAGAGTTCCGTGTTGTAGACAAATCCAGTGTTTTCGAATTTTACGCTTCACTCAACGTGTGGTTTTAATAATCGTTTAACTACTGTGCCGAATTTATTTTCGAAGTAAGTCACAGTCTTAACGCCGTGTTTTAAACTACGTTTTTGAAAGCGAAATTTCACAGCTTTTGCCACACTGAGTGAAACCTAATGAAGGCAATCAAGTTATCTTGGAAGTGAATGTGAAGTGTTTGGCAGCATTCATCTCGTTTTGGTCTGAATAGAAAAATTCAGTTCCAAGGTTAACATTAATGGAGTTCAGAGTAGCTCAGACAATTTATCGCAGATTATCACAGAATAAATTACGCGCCGGAAAATTTCATTCCTTAAAAATTAATAGATACCGAAATAACTGTATTCATATTTACCACTTAGGGATTTGACATTAATTTATTTATTATTATTATTATTTGATGCCATTACGTTGCGAGATGAACATAGTGCCTCGAAGCAAGCTACAGCTTTAAAAGTCCTGCAATAGAGGTTTACAGCTAGCAGATATACCAACGGACTGTTTAAGAAACCGCAACAAACAGATGACAGAATAACCTTCAGCAAGAAAACAACCAATCAGAAGACCTTGTTTCTCTGCTAACAATAACATATAATAATGTACATAAAAATCTATAAGTATCTGTTGATTTTCTGAATAATCGATCTGTCGCCTGGCCCTTGTCTTCTGCCGTTACAATACTTGACTGTCAGAACAAGTTGATTCAAACGTTGGATCACTATTTTGCTTCTTGAATCAAAATTTCACATCGAACTTTGTAATATGTAAATTGACAAACTCAGCTGTATGTATTACTTGGCTTCCAATGTAGTTACACAGAAATTAAATGACTGCAGCCTACTTGGCTTTCTTAGATGAGTTTATCTAAATGAGCTACATGACCATCCAGTATTTAGATCACTTCTATCTTGTTAACACGCATTACCAGTTTCCGTGACTGACTGATCTTCAACCTTTCTTAATTACCACACTTTTATCAACAGCTGCCCTCTGTCCATCAGCCAGAAGAAAAAATAGCAACAAGAAACTCTGCGAACAAACCAATATGACCAACAAACTTCCCTAAGGAAATGGAGAACGATCGGACACACTCTGAAAGAACCGTTGGATTACACCGTGCTGCAGGCCATTGCTCACCCGAATGAGAACGACAAGTTGGACTAGATGTCCAGGGTAAAGTGCTGGAGATCGTAAGAAAAGGAGGTGAGGGATTATGGGCTATTGTGGATTCAACCAAGGAAGACTGCAGACAGCGGGACAAAAAATAGACATGTGATGCTGAAGTTGTATTTTTCCACTCGGAACCCAATTGAGTAATCATAATAGTGATGTACAGTCTTGCAGTTAAGAAACTTATTTCATGGCGACAACCTAGTTATGAAGTTGGGAAAATATCAGCAAAATTTAGAGTTTGCAGGTCATTGAATCTCAACTCAACAGCTGAATGAACTCTTAACCTGAATGATGACGATGCACGTTACTGAGGACTTCCAAATAAGAAAGAAACAACTGTTCATTGATTTTCAATGACTGCCTGACTGGTATCACTTTATCGCAAAATTTACACTGCCATTAATCAACATCCCTATGGAAACCGAAATCTGATTACTATCATTATTATTATTAAAATTTTGTTACTTTAAACGACAACAATTGAAACCTACTTTGTATCTTGTAATAAACATGCAGATACTGATAAAGATTTGTCCAGTATAGGATAGCCATCATAGGCATGATTCGGTGAACGACGTGTGCTCATTCGAACGGTATATGCATCACCAAGTTGACTGTATAAGCGTAGATTTATACTATCTCTTTCATGTTTACTTCGTGTATAATGAAGTCGTGAACGAAATATATTTACGATAGTATCCTTATTATTTTTTAATATATAATTCGGTGGATCTTTTTCACCTGGGAATGGTTCAATGCGTACTTTTTGGTTAGGCCATTTCGAGGTATCTGTAAAGAAAAATATAAGTGGAAATGAAGAGTTGAAAAAAAAACTTTCTTCACTGAAACACATGAAGAAAACAAATTGGATGAAGAAATATCTACATGAATTTCCCAATACTGTTTCGCATTTTTAAACACAACTCGCTAACAAATACGAGCTTTAGCTCTGTTTAAACCCCATGTTGGCGATAGCAACCATAATATTGATCAGGGTTATTTATCGCATTCCAACAACTCTTAGTTTTGTGTAGCGAATTCGTCTTTCATACAGAGCACAGGCCATCTGAATCCGTCTGCAGAAACCGAATCTGTTTGTTTAAATGAAACTCATACAGCCAGTTTCTCTGTATTGATCATCCTCACATTTATTCCGCGATTCTAGTTACAGATTGTTTCATGGTCTGTCAGTTTCATCTTCACTTATCGCTACATAATCGATCTTAACGATTAAATCGCTCATTTATTCTTCTCATTTTTCAGCGCAGATTTCGTTATACACCAGTATCGGTTGAAAAATCACTGAAAATCAGGGAGAACTGGACAGCTGTGTCACTGTAGTTCAACAACACCCAGGGCCTACAGATTATGAGTTCAGTTCATTGATCATTCAGCCACTAGGATAGAATTCAAGTGACCAGTGCTATTGATGGGCATCCACCCCATGGTTTCTACTAGGTTTTCAATGGTTCTGTGAGTGCTGATCGCCCATGACATAAGAAACCCCAACACAGTCCCTGTCTTGTATAAATCACGCATTACATAATCACCATCTGTAATGATTTTCATTGATCAAATTGCCACACTATGGATCATCATTGAACAGAGCTTAGAATGGCAGTCATCTGTCTATCTCAACTTCATCGACAGCAACATCAGCAACAGACAACAATCAGCATAAATGGGAGGAACCTGAAAGAAACAACCTCTTTTACCTACCTGGGAAACATCGTTTCAACTATCAGCGGAACTGACGAGGATATAAAAGCAAGGATCGGGAAAGACAAGCTTTCATTACTCTCAAGTCTGTGTGGAGGTCAACAGCACTCAGCATCAAAAATAAGATCCGGATTTTCAACTCCAATGTGAAGTCAGTGCTACTCACTATACGGATCAGAGACTTGGCGCGTCATAAACAGCACATCAAACAAACTACAGACCTACTCAAGATGAGATGGCCAGAAAAGATCAGCAACAGGGATCTCAGGGCGCAAACCAACCAGGAACCGATTTTGCGACAAATAAGCAAGAAGAAATGGAGATGGACTGGCCATACTCTGAGGAAACCATCAAGTAACATCACTAGACAAGCCATTGCTCGAGTGGAACCCGAAGAGGAAGCGGCGAGTTGGTCGTCAATGCGAGGGTGACTTGTTGCAATTTAAGATAGATTTTAAAAGTTGAAAAGTTAGATACTTAGTTGGATTCACTGATTCACTTCACCTCTGGTTTATCATTTGAGAACTGTTACATTGATTAAAGTGGATCAGTTTATGTATGGAATATTGTGTATTTGTATTCTGATATATCTCTGTTAGGCGACAAACCAGCTAGTAACTTATTGCCTAACAGAAATGTAGGAAAAAATGGAAACTGATCGAGCATATGTTGAGGGGATCTTCAAGTGACTTCAGATGCTAGATCCTCAAGTGAAATCTGAATGAGAAGTGATATTTTCGGTATTCCAGGAAGTTATAGAGAAGATAATATCTTTTTTGGATGTAGTTGTGATCTCTGAGCTGGAAACTATATTTGCGAAGCTTTCATTGCCCTACTAGGTAATATTTTTACCAGTTACTTCAATTTGAAGTGAGCTTTCAGGTTTCTCCATGAGTTTGTTAGTCATCTCTCATGGTGGGTGACCTTGAGGGTGATTAGTTGTTTTTGTGTGTTTCCTTGACCTGAAGTTTGACCCTTGTAAAAAGATTTCCTTCTTATCGATTGGTAAATTTTGTCTATCTCGATGTGTCTATTGATTGACGATTCACTGGAATACCAGACTTCTAAAAATTCCCTAGTTCAAGTTCTCTAGTTCAAAGTTCAAGTCAAGGAAACAATCAGTACCAATGCAAATAGACCAGAGGGTGTGAAAACACACAAAAACAACCAGTCACGTTCAAAGCCACCCACCATGAGAGATGATTGATAAACTCGTGGAGAAATTCAGAAGCTCACTTCAAAATGAAGTATGCCCGCTGAAGATGTTTCCTAGTAGGAAAATAAAAGCTTTGCAAATAAACTATCCGGCTTAGAGAACAGAACTACATCAAAATCATCCACCTGAGCTACAAATCTTCTCTATCATATTGAATATAATGTCTGGCAGTCGTATTGCCAGCTGAAAAGGGATGGCAGAGAATTGAGCAGATTGAATATGTTCCACTCGATAGGCGCGGAATAAATAAAAACAGTTAAAGTTTTGGCATTTCTGTACGGTTTGTTCAGAAGAGAAATTGTACAAACACACTTTTGATCGTTGTGGTTAGGGTTAGACTGAATTTAATATCAGGTAATGCAGGTTCGCATCTCACTGGCGATGTGAGTTTACGCTCAAAGTCGAAAACAAAGCCAATATCCATGAAGTCCTGCCTACACAATTCTTGCACCATGTGCAGAAAACGTAAACGAATAAAAGTTTGCATTATTTTTAAATATAGCGAAAATATTCATTCAGACATCTATAAAACACAAAATAATTGAACCAGCAAAGAATATCCTTTTCGATAAATTCCTCCTCTTCTGGCTCTACAACTATATATATATGTGTTTATATACATAGAATATTCTAGAATTGGTGTTTTTTAAACAATATCGATTTGTAAAGTAAGATCACAATGGAATTACAGTTCATTAAAGATGCTTAAATAATAATAAAGATATAGAAGCAAATAGAATATCAACTAAGACTAGGAAAATTCCACAACAAATCGAGAATCATTCAAACCTAGATGGCCAAAGTAAAGATAATGTTTGAACTTACTTCTTTTGTATGCACAAATTAGGCTTGTTAATATGGATCCCAACAGCCAGCCTCAACAATATTTATTAGTCGAACTCTTAAGGAGAAATTGGGATTTGTTGGTTTGCGGTAAATGACCCTGAAAGCTTGGTAAACATCAATCTTGTGTTCTGTATTCACAAGATTAGATAGAATAGCGCTGCAAATAGATTTTGTTTGTCCTTTACTTAACCACTATGCACGGTGATGTTCGGAAATTCGACGAGAAACACGCCTAATTGTATGGCCTATGTAACTGGCTCATTCCACAGGAGCAGTTAAATTGCTAGATACACATGGAAGAGGCATACTAACAAATCCCAATTTCTCCTTAAGAGTTCGACTAATAAATATTGTTGAGGCTGGCTGTTGGGATCCATATTAACAAGCCTAATTTGTGCATACAAAAGAAGTAAGTTCAAACATTATCTTTACTTTGGCCATCTAGGTTTGAATGATTCTCGATTTGTTGTGGAATTTTCCTAATCTTAGTTGATATTCTATTTGCTTCTATATCTTTATTATTATTATTATTTAGGCATCTTTAATGAACTGTAATTCCATTGTGATCTTACTTTACAAATCGATATTGTTTAAAAAACACCAATTCTAGAATATTCTATGTATATAAACACATATATATAGTTGTAGAGCCAGAAGAGGAGGAATTTATCGAAAAGGATATTCTTTGCTGGTTCAATTATTTTGTGCTTTATTTTTAAATCTTTGAAATTACTACAGAATACCACAACTTGAGTGAATCTTTTTTCAGAATCGATTTTTTAAAAAGCCACAAAAATGAACAAATATATATAAAAAATTTGCAAACAGAAAACATTAATTACTTTCTTACACGTTTTTACTTTAGTTAATTGTAGACCGTAGGTTTTACTTTCTTCCCATGGTTCATTGAACGCAGATGATGCGACAAATTCAGCTCGATTGAGTACATTTGTACACGGTGTAACAGTGAACCATGCAGATCTATTGTATCCAATGAAATATTGTATACTGTGTTAATGTATGTGTAAAGTAAAACAATGGAAAGGAGATTTAGAGGGATTTTTGAAAAATATTGAGAAGCTAAAAAAGAAAATTAAGATAAAGGGAAAAGTGTAATGGAGTAGTACTATATTTAAACGAGATATGAATCAGCCATTCTTTTGGTGGGGGTGCGAGTGGGGAACTGAATAATCAATCTTCCAGTATTAGTGTGCTGAGAGCTATCTGCAAGCTGAAATTGCTGACAACAATTCGCGTCTATGTTTACGTCCCGAATCTGGGTCATAAGGAAAAAAACAAGAACAAATCCTAACCTTGAGGAACTCAACAACCAATCGCAGTAGACTGAAAGTGTGCAAATACGCTTCGCAGACATATATAGATAACTTTGTAAGCAACTGTCACAAGCAGTTCAGAAATAACCTTCAGCAGGAAAACAACCAATCAGAAGACGTTGCTTTCCTACTAAGATAACGAATAATAATGTGCATAAAATCCATAAATATCTGTTGATTTTCTCAATAAAGGATCTGTTGCCTGGCCCTTGTCTTCTGATGTTACATTACGTCTAATACAATACCAAAATCCGATGGCAGCAGCACTACTTAGTTACGCAGTATTTCAGAAAGACTACACCCAATCCAATATTTGTTCTTCTGATCCTCTACGCATATCAGCATAAAAGTACCAGTTATATCAAGTGTTCAAGGAAGGGGACATATACAATGACATCAAATGAAAACAAGAAAAGAAGACGAGAAACTGAATTTTTCCTGAATTCCTTAAGAAAGATAACTATCCAAGGAATTTATTCACAAGAGGAATAAATAACGCAAGTTGAAAAAAGTTTGCGAAAAGAAAACGTTGACTACAACAGCTGTTATTCGACAAGATTAGAAAAGAACTTAACGAATAGAAGACAGGAATAATGTTAAAAGATCGCATTCTGATAGATTCACAACAATATAACTGTGTCTATAATGGAAAATGTGATGTACAGCACATCAGAAAAATGTATCGATAAGTGTTAGTCAGAAGAAACGAATACTGTAGTAACTCCATTTGGCCACTAAGAAACCCAGTGGAACCAATAAACCTGAAAACATCCTCAGGCTACAAGATTGACTTGAAAAGGTTTAGAAAAATCTCAAAATTATAGGAACAAACATCTCATATCGGAGGCTCTTCACATAAAATGCAGTCAGATAGAATTTGACCTGGATCGAATACCTGTTTCCAATGAAATAACACAGTTAATTCAAATGGGATCAGTATTTTCCTCAACATTGGCATGTACTGCATTTGTAAGTTATAGACTTATCATATCCAGCAATCTTTACACAATTGGTTACCTTCACCGATTTGGCCCCTTTGACAACACAGAATTATAACATATAGATGAACTTTGGTTGAGTCACCATATGTAAGCTGAGATTTTGTAGCTGTGAGCAGTATTAAACAGAGAAACGTCAGTGGAAAATACACTGTTTTTTAAATAAAAATAACAACTGACGGCATATATATAGAATGCGAGAAATTTTCAGGCAACACAGTTTCGTCGAATAGTAGCATTTCCACAAGATGATTTAAAAGACGAAGGATATTCATCAAAATGATGACTTCTTGTAAACCTTTTTTTATACTCAGACTTCATCAACAGTTCTCATTGTCAATTCGGGGAAGTTCAACAATAGCGTCCCATGAGTGCGAACGCTCTCCGGTGACCTTGCACGCATACTAGTCGTTGGCTGACGGCACCTGTCATTATCATAGATGAAATGCCAACAATATTCACCAACTAAGCAGCGAATTTCACCAAGATCACGTTTTAAGCACTGTTTGCACAATTTTTTAATGGCTCATTAAGGTTAATATTGGGGTTAGGGTTAGGATCAGGGTTACAATTAGGACTAGGGTTAGGTTTACGGTGAGGATAAGGGTTGTAATTAGGATTAGGATTAAGGTTAGGTTTACGATCAAGGATAGATTTAGAGTTGATGCCATTTATTTTAATTTGTTTTATTATCCACATTTTCTTGGTAAGTAGTTGTCGATCTTCCCACTGAAAACCATAGTAATTCAACCGAAGGCTTTTGAGGAAGACTGCACAACAGGACGAGAGATAAACAGTTGACAAGAACAGCTCATCTTTTGTCACCTACGTGAATACATGTCCAGAAACTAGTCCAACTTAGCCACTGATACTCTTCATTATAACCTGGAGGTATTCTTAAGTCATGTCAGAGAAAGATAACCTGTTTAATGTGTTTTCATGCAATTCCTTGTAAATATACGTCATTTTTTTGCAAAAGCTACATCTTTTGATGATTGGTCGGCTGAAGGTCACTCGCGCATTCGCATCCCTTTTGGGACGCTATTGTTGAACTTTGCCATCAATTCTTCAGTCAAGTGCATTTTATGCGTTTGAAATGAATTGAATCTCCACGCTAATAATTTGGGTAACTCAAATTTCTATGATTCACACAGTTCAGTGACTTTTATAGTGTCAGCGGCACTGCTGTACAAAATAGATTAAATGTCACTTATGTCCGAATAAATTTCTCTTCTTTTCTTTGGTCAGTGAAATGTTTGTTTTCAAGGGCCCGTAGAATATGTAGGAGCGACACATTGATGGATGAGCTTCGATACATTCATTCAGTTTTATTAGCTAATGGTTATCCAGAAAACTTTATCAATTGTCACAGTAACCATAGACCACATCTTGAAAAGACAGTTTCTGGACCAAAGAAAGCTTTCTTTATTAACCTATCATTCAAGGGTGATCAAATTATGCAGTTAGCAGCTCAAAGACTTTGGTCAGCCATCAAGCACGCATTCTACGCCGCATCTATTTCCCTTACATCCCGAATATTTTCGTTCCCGGTACCTATAATTATAGGACGAAATTCTATGGACTCTACATCAAACTGTATCTACAAGTTTACCTGTAGTTGCGGTGACACCTATGTAGGTAGAAGCAACAGAATGTTCCATTGTTGTCGTCGAAAAGAACATGTTCCAAAACAGTTATTAAAACACACAGAAAATCTCACTGCAATTATTAATCTGAGTAGAAATCCATCATCATGATCCATTGCAAAGCACTTATTAATGTCAAGTCACAAAATCAATATTAACGACTGCTTCACAGTTATTTCATCACATAACTCGAATTCAAGGTTGGTTATTGAAGGTGATGGAAGCACTTTGAATTAATCAAATAGAACCTTAATTCTTGTTAATTTTCGACAAAAAGCTGATATTACCTGGTACAAATCAGCCTCTTTTATTTTTACCTTTTATGAATTCATTTATCCACCCCCGCACTCTTCTGTATTTTCCCCACCCCCCTGTCAACTTTATTCACTCTTACGCTTCTGAAAGTAGACTGTGCTATGATACGTGGGATTTTAAAGGCACTAAACACTGTCATAGTGGTGGGTCCCTGACATAGCTAACTGGTCGACGAGCATCCCACCACTGCGTCACTGACGCACAAAACGAACTGTGAGTGCTGGACAGCTGTCTCGTCAGCCTAGTTTGCAACTCATCGCCAGTACGCACCCACTGGGTTTCGAATCCGGGACCTTCCGGTTACAATGCAAGCCCGTATAGCATTGAGCCACTGGGACTGGAAAGTGAGAAACGTTTAGTTTTTATCATAATAGGGCTGCAATCTGTTTAAGTTGATAGAATTAAATTTTAGTCTTGACTGCACTACAAAATTATCGCATGCTTCTTCCCACTTTTCTTGTGTTTCCCACATTGCCCATGTTTCCAGAAAGAAGTTGACCCCCATTTCCCACGTGGTTTCTATTATTCGAAAATAGACCACTTTGCCCACTTTCGAACGGAAAACTAACCACATATCCCAAGTCTGAGAAAATCTCTTCGACCGGGCGGTTGTCCTTGTTTTTATTATAATATGATGCCTGCATACATGGATGCGTCCATGGCACAGCGGTAGAATGCCCACCGACCATGCGTGTGGTTCTAGGTTCGATCCCCGGCCAGAGACGCACTCCTAGACTTCGCTAAGACGGTAATAGGGCCGGTAAAGAGAGAAGGTTGGGCATGAGGCCAGTAACTCCATCTCGTAAAAATAAACACTGCTACCGAAACTTCAAGCCTCTATCTTGAAACCCAATGTTCCGATGAGAACGTAAAGGAATAAAAAAACGCTGACTAACGATATCCAGTCTATTGCTCTGTTAATGTCGAGGTACATAGAACCTTGCTTAAACTAGAATTCTTAGGAATAAAATTTACTTGACAGCCTACATGCCGGGTGTCGTGGTGTGCGAGCTTTCTTTACACTACACAGTTATATGACCTTTAAACTTTAGCATAACCCTAATCAACAATAAATTACGTAACTGACTGGGATGGAATAAAAAGCATAAACCAACGCCTACGAAAGAATAACACACAAAATTCATAACAATCGACTTATTCATTGATAAACGAACCCTTTTTAAAAAGGTTTTTTGTTGATACTTTTTTTTCCAACGTTGTTGTTTTTTCTCTGTTTATCAAAACGTCGAATGTCAACAATCTAGTCTAATAGTCGATATGTAAACCGATCGCATACTCACACACCCACACACACTTCCAAAAATAGCATCAAATCATAAAAGAAGAAAGCCTTATCAACTTTGTAATCTGAGAAGTCAATAAAACGGTGGGTCATACCCACCAAAATATTGAATTTACTATGGAACATGAACATGATGGAAAGTCCAATTTCCTGGAGATTGCCATGCAAGGCCCAGAAGATGATGCTGGTCTCCAGAAGTCAATTTATCGAAAGGACAATACCTACAGTTTAACAGATTTTGTCCAAATAGCAAGCTATAAACGAGGACTAGTCAAGACTCTATAATATAGAGCCAGGAGGTTATGCTCTACAGAGAAATTAGAGGAAGAAAAGATGTTGAAAAGCAACGGTTTTCCTCAAAGGTTCATTAACAAGTACGGAAGATCTGAAGGCTCAAATATCAAGCAAATCA